TTTTTTTTTTTTTTTTTTTTTTTTTTTTTTTTTTTTTTTTTTTTTTTTTTTTTTTTTTTTTTTTTTCTCTAAACAAATTAAAAAAGAGAAAATTAATAATAATTAATATTAAAATATGATGCTTTTTTGGGGTTTGTTCTGATTAATATTTGGAATTTAATTTTTGGGTTTTACAGCTCACTCTCATTTGTTTTCATTATCCTTTAATTTCTTTTTCTGACCAATGATTCAGCTTTTTTCTTAATTAATGAGAGATTTTAATGTTTGGTAGAGTAATTAGGTTAATTAGATTCTGTGCTCAGCTTTTTTTTTTCATATATTCTTTCATTTAATAACAAAATAATAATCATAATAATAATCTTGATATAGATTAATATTTAAAATATTTATGTCTGAGGTCAGAATAAATAAAATATTACTATAGTAGAATTTAAGAATTTATTTAATTTTTAAAAAAATTAATTTAGTAGCTGTTTTTGACTTTCTAATTTTTTTAATTTAAATATTGCACTTGTCGGAGAAATATTTGAATTCTTAACTAAATTTTAAAAATAAAAAACTATTTTTTTTTTTTTTATGATATTCAAAATTATGCTTTAACACGTGAGTACAAAAGAGATCGCTTAGATGTGAGTGTTTATAAACTTACATGTCAATGGTTATCAAACAAACCTAAATAATTATCAAACCAAACTAATCATTAAATCGAAAGGGTTCTGATACCATGTGAATGTTTGATTAATCCACCACACCCAAATGGTAGTGAGAGTTCTCTTATTTATAATCATTTACCGAATACAGAAATAAGGTAAATTACAAATATAAGGAAATAGCGATAAAAGGAAAGAATAATAAATTAATACAATATATTTACATTTAATAAAAGGGCAAATATGGTAACCCGTAATGTAAGGCAAATATCTAGATATTTGCCTTATAATGAACGGTCAACTATCCTTAACAATATGAATTCAACTACTTACCTTTGCATGTAACCGAAGAACCAATTACAAGAAAAAAGGTTAATAAGATTCAAGACTAGCTAGTGTAAAGTTGAAACAAAGACTTTTGTACCTAAAAATATTTATAGCATTAACATATCAAATCAAGAAAATAATGAAGTGGCTGACATTGGAGAGTGATTAGAAGACTTTGTCTGGTAGTTGAATTACCAATTAAGACAATGTATGTATACCTTATTTTTTTTTATTTGTATTCACTCGTTGTTATTGGAAGTTGTAGTTTATAGTTGGTAGATGAACTTCATTATGTTTGAGTTATCTTTTTGGGGCACGTAGTATTCATGAATCATGGTTGAATATAAACAAAACATTTGTGTTTTCTTGATGCTTTCTTGGTGTTATTCTTTTTCAAACCTTCCTTTAGGTTTGATGTTTAAATCGATTCATTGAACTAGTTTTGATGAAGCTAATCCTGGAGTGAGTCGTCTTAGAATCTAAGAGTGACCATCATATACTCAAAGTTCGATCTAAAAGTCATTCATCTTCTAACCAGCTCTTGGTTGGAATCAATTTGTTAAGTTAACTTTCTTTGTGAACGTTTGCAAGGATTCTAGAAGAATCTAGCTTTGCAAAATTCAGCATCATTGGCGCATCAAATAATCCGCTAAATATAATTTTAAACAAAAAAGCTAAATATGAAATATGATCATATGCAGGGAATAATATGATAAACGTTATTGATTAGATTAGGTCAAACATTATTTTCCCTCCCAACTTTATTACTTCTCTCACAGTTTCACATCAGAACAGTTTGAACATAGACGATTTGGATGCCCTTTGGCCTCCTAGCCAGTGTTGCATATGAACTCCAATGGCATCTAAATACAAGCTGCTTCGTCCATGGAACCCAACCACTTTGCCCTCCGTCGTCGTCGACGTGAAAAAGTTCCCTATCTCCTCCCCAAACGGACCGAACTTCCCCCTACTTGTGTAAAAAGTAAGCGACTTAATAACTTGTTGTCGCTCGCCTTTACCGACGTAACCGTAATATCCCGATATACAAGTCAGTACTTCATGTGGATAATCCAATTTTACCTGCAAATACAGCCAGAAAACATGTTTGTTTCATTGTGGATGTAAAAGAAGCTGTTGAAAAGTCCTTGGTAGTACCCGATGTATGCTTGTTCCACTGTTTCCTCCATGCTTAACTGACCAAACCGATTGTTTGTTTCGATCATACTCGATTTGAATTGAACAAAACGCTTCGAGAGACCGTGTTAAGTATATCTGTTTAATGCCAGAGAATACCCCATCATCCCATGGTTTACCCCCGTCCCCGCCCCACGGTCCTGGTCCACAGGGTGCCGGTTCTTTTACGACACCACGAGTAATCTATGAAACAAATAACTCGTCTATAAGCTATTTCATGACTAAGAAACATCTAAATGGTTAGGAGAGTTAGAGAGTACCTCTTCAAGTGCTCCTCCTTTTGAAGGGGCCACTTTCTTAGTCCAAGGGACAAGCTCATTTCCAAGAAGTGGTGGCGGTGCAGCAGGAACGATTTCACTGGAGGGAGGACGAGACGCCGGGTTCACCTTTCCTTCGACTAAGTGCACGCCAAGAGCATCTAGGAACAAGCCTTTCCTGCCATGAAATCCAACAATCTTTCCCTCCTTGACGTTGGTACTAAACGGGGTTCCTAGCGCCTCCCCGTATGGCCCGTACTTTGCTTTTGTAGTATGGAATGTGAGTGACTTGATAACATTAGGTCCCATGTACATTACAGGCCCATAATATCCAGTTACACGAGTCAAGATTTCATAGGGATAATCAAAAACAACCTGCAAAATGGTTGGTTACGACTAAGAGAAAAACACGACAGAGAAAGTAATAACTTAAACGAAATTATACAGGAAATATATTCATTCACCTTGTCATGTTTGAATCCTCCTTTTCCACCTGCTCGGGTTCCCCATATAGATTCCTCGTCCCAAGCATACAGAACTTTTATATATACAATACCGACATTGCGCGACACATTAATTTCCCTAATACCAGAGTAATGTCCATCATCAAACGTAGTTCCACCCGAGCCACCCCACGGTCCACACGGAACCGCATTTTCAACTTTCGACGGTCCCTTCTTCACCGGCCTCTGAGATGACCATCACCAACTGTTATTTGAGTTTACTTAGAAACAAGACAAATAAAAGCGTCAAAGAAAAAGGTTTCGTCTCACCTTGTCTGTGGATTCATCATCACTCGATTCCGAGCTCGAGGAACTAGATACTTGTTTCGAGATAGTATTTGGAAGAGGCCTTTTGAATTCATCCTTCTGTCGTAGAGCAAGAACAATATCATAATTTTGGCCAACACTTCCTTGTATAATTGAATAGCCTTCACTTTCAGCTTTACAAGCAACGTAATTCGGTGACTGAATCATTCCTTTAGATGGCGTTTGTATTGGCATAGGCTTTAGGTAAACTCCAATGGCATCCAGGTACAATCCACTCCTGCCATGGAACCCAACAATCTTGCCCTCGGTCGCAGGGAACGAGAAAATCGTTCCTAGTTCGACCCCATACGGCCCGAACTTCCTTTTGTTGCTCATAAAAGTCAGGGATCGAACATAAACTTTATCGAACGACACAAAGCTACCATAGTGTCCACGGATCATAGTCAAGTACTCGTCTGGGAAATCAAGCTTCACCTGTAAAACCAATAATGAAAACATAATACACAGAGGTACTCCTGTATTCTTCATCAACGATCAAACTAAAGTTAATCACAAAGATGTTTCGAAATTATCGAGCAAACAATCAATGATCCAACGAAGTATGGGGTTACCGTGTCTGTTTTAGTGCCACCGTTTCCTCCATGTTTATCTGACCAAATCGAACTTCCCTTCACATCATATTGAATCTTGATCGAGTCGATACCAGCTCCATGGCAAATTACCAGCTGCCTGATGGTCGAAAAAACTCCATCGTCCCAATAATTTCCACCTGTTCCTCCAAAAGGCCCAGCCGAGATCGGCTTGATTTTTCGAGAACCATCAGAATTCTGTGGGGGAAACAAACAAACTTTTAACTGGTTGTGGAAAACAAAGTGTATGCAATCAAATAATAGAAAGCAAATGAATAGCAGCTACCATTGTTGTTACAGAAACAAAAGACAAGACAAGTAAAGAGAGCAATGATTTTCTTGAACTTCGATGGCTGTGTAGCACAATTGCAGTGTGCCACGGCCTGTGAGGAATTTATTTGAGCCAAAAAGGCATAGAGAAGAGAATCAAGGTTTCAAAAGCTTTTTCAAGTGATATGGGGAAGATAGATTCCAAATTTCACTAAGGAGGGGAAATATTTACTAGAAAAGAATCTGATCCTTCCATACAATAGAAAATGAAATCTTAAAAAACAATTGTAGCGTTTCGCAATAGATTCTAATATGTTTGGTATTCTTATTATTCTTTCATCTCCATGCAGTCACTTTGGTATGAAATTAAACATTTTGTACTGAAAAGTGACTTACGTAGGTATGCATTCCCAAGAGATCCCACGTCGGTTGAAGAAGGGAACGAAGCATTCTTTGGAAGGGTGTGGAAACCTCTTTCTGGTAGACGCGCTTTAAAAATCTTGAGGGGAAGCTTGGAAGGAAAAATCCAAAGAGGACAATATCTGCGAACGGTGGGTTTGGGCTGTTACATAGTCCCTCCTTGGGAGCCACCTGACTCTCCAAGCCACTACTAGCAAATATTGTCCGTTTTGGCCTATTACGTATCGCTGTCAGCCTCACAGTTTTAAAACGGGTTTACTAGGGAGAGGTTTTCACACCCTGATAAGGAATGTTTCATTCCCCTCTCCAACCAACGTGGAATCTCACAATCAACACCCCTTGGGGACCCAATGTCCTCGTTGGCACACCGCCCCGGGACTGACCCTAATACCATTTGTAACAGCTCAAGCCCACCGATAGCAAATATTGTATGCTTTGTCCCGTTACGTATCGCCGTCAGTCTCACGGTTTTAAAACGCGTATACTAGGGAGAGATTTTCACACCCTTATAAGAAATGTTTCGTTCTCCTCTCCAACCAATGTGAAATCTCACAATCCACCCCCCTTGAGGACCCAACATCCTCGTTGGCACACCACTCGATGGCTGGCTTTGATACCATTTGTAACAACCCAAGCCCATTGATAGAAAATATTGTCCGCTTTGGACCATTACATACCGCCGTCAACCTCACGGTTTTAAAACGCGCTACAAGGGAGAAGTTTTCACACCTTTATAAGGAATGTTTTGTTCCTCTTTCCAACCAACGTGGAATCTCACAAACAACCCCTCACAACATGGGAATAACGCAAATCATGAAAGACTGGTTCAACCAAGAAGATTTTTCCATAACCTCATCAAAAACCAAGGATCATTTCAACCTAAATGTGTCATGTCATTATACAGTAAACTATGCACCCAAACAAGCATGTAATGTCGAAATGCTATAAGAATTATACTAATAAACAGATATAACAGTGATTACCATAAAACAAAGAAACCTCTTACGTTCGGATCAAATTTATTTCGTTACCTATAAATAGATCGCAAACCTGTCAAAATGTGTTATGAACAATGCATTCTCAGCATAATCCAAATTCTACAGGAATCTGTCTTCTAACCAATCTTCACAACTGCACATTCCCAGAGATCATCTTTTCAAGCAACTACCCTCTTCTAAGAACAACTTACACATCATGTTCAAGGCTACCAATAATCCCCACAAGAACAACAGCCATTTTTGAAATGGTGCAGGCATTTTGAGTCACTTAGATATATTTCACATCCATGAGCCTCTGAGACATACTTGGCCATCTGATGACAGTCTCCACATATTCTCAAGTTTTTCACGATTTTTATTCTTTTCGGTTTGTGAGACGACCCAATAAGGCCAAAAGCAAATGCAAACTTTTCACAGTGGAACCCGCCAATTTTTTCTTCCTTCGGTTCGTCATCGATAGAAAGCTGATGGTGATTATTAAATTTCTTTACTTTCCCTACAATGCCTTGTATCCAAGTATTTAGAACGTCGACTTTGGAATGATCGTCATTGACGAAAAAATAGACTTTGTTACCGACTTCAACCCAGCACTGTGCTGTACATTTCTTCATTGCACTCTCTCTTCCAAGCTTTCTCACTTTTAAAGCTTGTTCAGATTTCCCATATAAAGCATATGCCTGTATTAATAAACGGTAAATCACATGATTATCAGGCTCCAATTCAAGTAGGCGCTCAGCTGCTCGTACTGCCAAGTGTAAGTTCCCATGAAACCTCGAGGCAGTCAGTAGACTGGTCCAGATGGAGACATCAGGTTCTGTAGGCATGTTTTCGATGAACTCGATTGCATCGGTAAGCCTTCCAGAACGTCCATAAAGATCAACCATAGCCGAATAATGATCTAAAGTTGGCAGAATTTGATGTTCTTCAGTGATGCTAGAAAAAACATGTCGTCCCCTGTCGACCATCCCAGCAATGCCACAGGCATACATAATACTAGCCAGTGTACCTCGGTTCGGCCTAATTCCAAACCTTTTCATCTGATCAAACAAATGAAATGCAGCATCTGAGCAACCATGTAAAGTATATCCTGCAATAATTGAATTCCAGGTGATAATATCTTTCGACAACATGCCATCAAAGATGTTTCTTGAATATTGAATGTTCCCCGACTTGGCATACGTGTCTATAAGCGAGTTCGCAACAGGAAGCTCCGTTTCCAGGTTTCTACGCAACACACAGCCATGGATTTCCTTTATTTTCTTCTCTGCCATTACATTTGCACAAACTGGTAAGATACTCAAGATAGTCACTGAATTAGGATTAAAATTAAGAGACTGCATTTGTCGAAATATTGCTAGAGCTTTGTTCTTTTCACCGAGCCGATGGTACCCTGCAATCAGAGAATTCCAGGACGCCGTATTCGGATTAACCTCCCCATCATTTTCCATCATTTGAAAGAGGTTCATAGCTTGATCCTCATCTCCATTGTGTATACACCCTGATATCATCACATTCCATGTCACAACATTAGGCATTACATTTGATTCCCTTATTCTCATAAAAAGTTCATAAGCTTTACCACAGTATCCACCCTGACAATATCCTCCAATCATCGAGTTCCACGTATAAATATCTTTTTCTAAAATTGTATCAAAGACATGATGAGCAGCTTCCAATTTTCCACATTTAGAATACATATCAATAAGTGAATTCCCAACCAATACTTGATGAGCAATTCCCATTTTAATAGCTAAACAATGTATTTCCAGTCCTTTTTGCAGCGATTTTAAGGAAGCACACGCCGACGACACGCTCGTAATAGTTACAGCATTTGGTTCAACCCCTGCTAGAATCATCTCCTTGAAGAAATCCAATGCCAGATTAATCCTGCTGCTTTGAGCAAAACCCGAAATCATCGAAGTCCAAGTATAGACATCAGGAGTGATCCCCATACTTTCCATCTTCTTCTTCAGTTCTATAACAAGATTACATTTCCCCAACTGGCTATAACTAGCAATCAGTATGTTACAAGTAACCAAACCCGGTTTGAATCCTTGATCGTTCATCGTGTCGAGCAAAGTCCTAGCTTCATCGCCATGTCCCTTCCGGCAATAGCCAGCTATTATAGCATTCCAAGAGACCTCATCTCTTTCGTCCATGTTCTCAAAGAACTTCCTAGCCAAACTCAAGTTCCCACATTTAACCAATGCCGTCAAAATAGAATTGCTTACACGCATAGAACAGCTCAACCCACATCGAATAACCACAGAATGCATCAACTTCAAAGTTTCAAGATCCTCGCAATTCCCACAAGCTTGTAGTATTCTTGGGAAAAGAAAAGCATCAGGCAGTACTCCATCACCCATCATCAAAAAGAAAAGTTCAACTACTTCTGTCCATCTCTGCTCTCTTGAATATCCGCCTATCATTGCCGACCAAGTGTACAAATTTCTCTCCAGCATTTCATCAAACACCTTACGTGCATCTTTTAGAAACCCACATTTCGCATACATGCTTACTAGCTTCGTCTCGACAAATGGGTTCACCTGATCAACTAAACAGAGACGAACATGAAGCTCACGACCCACTTCAATAGAATCCGCATCTATGCAAGTTTGAAGCAAATTGATATACGTGTTAGTGCTTAACTTAGACCCATGTCTGGACATTGAATCAATGGCTGCTATGGCTTCTCGGAGGAGGCCATGGCGGCAAAGGTAACTCAAATGGTCGTCATTGGACTTTGAACTGGTTTTCTGGGTGAAAAATATAGTAGTTTGAGTTGGTTTTGAGGAGAATTTAAGGGGTTTGGTTTTGATAATTGAAGCGGGGACGGAAATTGGAGGCTTTGTTTGGCAAGGAATCGCCAGTTTCTCCATTGTTAATCAGAGACTAGATTTCTTCACACCCTTCCAAAGTTCATAGGCTCACTCACAACTTGTTAATTAAAATAACCAAATGAAGATCAGAAGATGCCGCAGGTGTGGACGTGGCGCCTCCTCCACAGGCTCTAGTGGATGGGGTTACTGGATACTGTTTCCACTTTCTTTCTTTCTTTTTTTTTTAATTTATTAAAATATCATTTTCGTCGTGGCCTTTAAATTTTAATCAATTACTTGTGATTTTTTCAATTTCATAAAGAAAATTTGGAAAAATCTATAATAAGCTAACTAAGAGAGTAGATATAAGATTTTTTTTAAAAATTACATCCATTAAATTTTGACGATTTAAATATTATTTTGGTTTTTGTAATTATCTTCAATTATATGACTTTAATTTGTGATCTCTTAATAAATCTTAAATTTAATCTTTTAAAATTAATTTTTATATTAAAAAAAAAAAAAAAAACCTAATAGATTTTTAAATCATTGTCGTTCTCTCTAATCCACGAATATTTTGGTTAATGCTTGAAGGTTAAAATTAATTGCTCTCTTTAGTGTTCAAATTAATTACGAAAACTGTAGTATTAGTACGACTTCATTGATTTAAGGAGTGCAAGTAATGGAAAACTAGATTTAATATATATATATATATATATATATATATATATATATATATAGCAGTGAGTCAAGTTCTTACAGCAGGCTACAAATTCCTAACCCATTTATTCCACATTGAATCCAGCAGCTTCTATACAACTAGCACCATAATCATATTTGAGAGTTGCGCACATAATCCAATTTCTGTAAGGAGAAACAAAAACAGTGAACATCTTAGACAATGTTATGAAATCCACAAGTAGATCAAAATCAAAGCTGGAATCATCCTTGTTACACCATACCGATGATAAGGAGGACACATCCTCCAAGCTGACTGTCTAAGCAGTAGAAGCAGCAACTGCTGGTGTTTTTAGCTCTTCTATTTTCCTCAATAGCGCCGCTCTATCAGTACCAACAATCCTGTGAGATTTTTGCCCTCTTTTCAGGAAAATAAACGTCAGTAATGCCTCAATATCCCACTTGAAAGCAACATGCTGCAGAGAGTAACGGAAGTCACTGTTGGGATCAAGTAAAAAAGAAAAGAGCTCTAGCGCATGCTACAGTATTCAACAATATCTTGAAGAAACAGAACTATTGAAATATGATGTGATAGATACGAAAGAGCAAAAAGAGCTTAAGTATGTTTACTTTCAATTCATCGACGTCTACTTCCAGGAAAATGACACTAGGATGATTCTTAGCCAATTGTAAGAAATATGGAGCAATTAAACGGCGTGGCCCGCACCAGGAAGCAGTAAAATGCACCACAATCTATCAAATCAAAACCTAAGAAACATCAGGAACAAAAAATTGACACAAACTGTAATAGTAGCCTGTAAGACAGAATCAGTCAAGTGTGGTGAAGCAAAATAGCACAATCAAGTTCAAGGTCATACTAAAGAAAAAGGAAAAGTGTAACAGTGAAGGATTGAAGTCCTGAAGAATACAAATCAAACGATTCCACTAAGACGTTAAAAAGAAAACCTAGATATCGTAAATTTCAACACGAGATCATTCAATATTGATAAATCGAATATATAATTAGCCTAAGAGATCAGAAATTCTGGCGAATCCATCGCGACTTTTACCAAAACATTGAACAATCTCCAAACAGGAAAAGAATAGAAAAAGAAAAGGCAAAAGGAATCAGGAAACGTGAAAGTGCTTTTCAACATATATCCATCGGAATCCATTAAAATGTAGAAATGAAGAATCTGAAAAATCAAAAGACTATACCAGTTTTCCAGATTCTTTCAATAATACAGCATTCCATTCAGAAGTACTACGACAGGCAATCACATTTCCTTCTTGAGCCAATGGCTTACACAGAAATCGGAGACCAGCAAAAATTGTTCTCTGTATCAAAAACAGCACCGATACAGGAATGGCGGTGGGCCGGTATTTATAGAATGAGGGGTGGGACAGGTCTCCGATTCCTCGGTTTTTTTTTTACTAAATGCCCATTTTTAGACGTTTTACTAATTTTAAAATTATTGAAAAATTTTATGTTCTATTTATTTTAAAATATTTATAATGCATTTTATAATTAAAAAGGATTAAAAAAAATGTTTTAAACGCTCACAAATTAAAGTAAATATAATTAGAATTAAAATATTAAAACGATGATTAAACCATACATTATTTTTATGTAACATGCTACACATGGAAAAATATAATAAAGAGAAATTGTGAATAAACTAATGAAATTGACTAAATGCTTTTTTCTCAAATATTTAAAAAATAATCTTTGTTTTTTATTTTAAAATGAATTAATGTTCCTTTTTGAAATTGCATATTTTTTATTTTTATCTTTCGAGTTTAATAATAATAAAGGTTTTAAAAGGTTAAGGAATTGGATTCTCCGCTATGGTCTTATGGCCCATCATTTTTTAAAGTCTATAGGGCTTCTCTCCGGTGCAAATTTGGGCCCATTTACGTGTAATTAAATAAAACAAAATAACATTAATAATGGGAACAAAGAAAATTATGAAATTTGACCTAGTTTTTTTTTTTTTTTTTTTGCATAATTATATTAAAGCGTAGAAAACCTAAATATTTATTATTTTATTTGGTATTCTTTAAAGAAATTGGTATCTTGAGAAAAAGAAAAGAAAAAAGGTATTTAATAAATTGGACCTATGAGAATTATTATGTTTTGGAATTTAGCATAACAACTTCCTTAAAAGTTGAATGTTTTCTTTTATAATTTGAGTTTGGTTTATTGTGGATGCTTAAGATAGTAGTTAGTTCGGGCATTTATAGTTTTGTGTAAACACATGTTTGGAAGTAAATGTTTTTCTGATGTCAATTATATCGGCTAAGTTTATGATTTTAGACAGTAACATAATTCATGTTTTTTAGCTAATAATTAATGACTAAAATTGAAATAGTGAATATGTTATTTGTGATACTTTATAGGTTAGAAGTGAGCATTTGTTTCGCGATTTTGTAAGATCCTACATCGGTTTTGATAAGAGGACAAAACATTCCTTATAAAGGTGTGGAAACTTCTCCCTAGTAGACGAGTTTTAAAATCTTGACAGCGATATGTAATAGGCAAAAAATAACATCATCTATTGGCAGTGAGCTTGACAGATATAAAAAACGAACCAGAAGAAAACAGAGAGAAAGAGAGAATACTCAATAATGTATGGTCATAGATATAAAAGATGCCTAGGAATAAATTGTTCCATTGCCCCACTATAAAAACGACTTTCTTCCAAACAAGAGATGCAGACCCATATTTCATTGACCCATTTCCTCCTTTCAACTCATTTCCTCACCCAAATGACCCCTAAATCCTCCAAAGTTTCAGTTCTTATTCAACCTGATTAAAGCATAGCACATCATGGAGAACCAAGCACAAATATGAGAGATTCAACAACACGAATACTTTCCAAAGCTGAGAGAAAAAGGAGGAGAGAAATAAAAGCTTCGGCAGATACATCATCATAGATATACTGAATCTTATTGTACATATGTTTTTTTTTACGGAGACATGCAAAGAACAAGTAAACATCTCCGACACAGTACCATCAAATCCACAAGCAGAACAGACTCGAAACCAGAATTCATCATCACACCATAATAATAAGCAGAACGATCCATCAAGCTCACCATCTAAGCAGAAGAAGTGGCAGCTGGTGCTCCTAATTCCAATACTTTCTTCCCCAGCTCCACTTTGTCAGCACCCACAATCCTGTAAACTTCCGCCCCTCCTTTCAGGAAAACAAAGGTCGGCATTGCCGTAACCTCGAACTTTTGAGCAATTTCCTGCAAAGAAATAGGAACCATTGCTTGATAAGAAAAGATAAACTAAACGAAACCGTTCCATTTCACTGCATTAACTGTCCCAAATAACAGAGTGGGTATGATATGATAGTTTGGGAAGAGTTGAAAGGGCTTAGATATCTGTACTTTTAAGTCATCGACGTCCACTTTCAGGAAAACGACATTGCTGTGCGCCTTAGCCATCTCTGCGAATACTGGAGCAATGAAACGGCATGGCGGGCACCAGGAAGCAGTAAAATCCACCACAATCTACTAAAAGGAATTTTAGAAACATCAGGAACAAAAAATTAACCCCCAAAACTACTGTCAAACCAAAATGAAATCGTCAAGTTCAAAGACTTCTTACAAAAAGGACACAAAGCCAGTAACAGAGAATAATTGAAGAGTATGAATTGTGAAATCTGATATAAACTCAAAACATTCCATAAGCCATCAAAAGTCCTATTAGCAATTTCAACACTACAATCGAAATAAACAGCCTAAACTGAAGAAATTAGCCTGATAACTAGGCACAATCATACGTAAATATCAGAAACCCTAACAAATCAATCACGGATCTTCCCAGATCATCGATCAATCTAGAACAATAATAATGCAGCAGAAATTGTGAAGACATGAAAAATGCTTCGATATACCTAGGCGCCAAATCCAAAATTCCATCGAAATCACATACGAAAATCAATCAATTCGAGAGTAGAAATGGAGAGTACGAAAAAACAAAAAATCATACCAGTTTACCAGCCTCGCTTCCTTGCTTAACAAGCGCATCGAATTCGTCAACCTTACGAACCACAATCGCTTGTCCTTCTGCAGCCATTGGTTCAAACAAAAAATCGGTGTCCTGCAAAAGTCGTCCCTGAATTTGAAAATGAAGCGATGAATAAAGACGCATTGGGACAGGAGGGTTTAAATAGAGAGAGGGAAATGATCCCAGTTTTCATTTGTTCCATTTTACCGAAATACCCTTAAGAGTTGACTCGTACCAAAGTGAGCGCAAATAGCAATAATGTGAATGCATTTATATCTAATATTGTCGTTATCCCCAATAGAAACGAATTTAAAATAAAAATTAAAAAAAAAACATAAAAATAATAAAGAATTGAATTTAATTTTGATTTTAAAATGGCAGTCTTCGGATTATCAGCTTCCAACTTTTTTCGGTCATTTTCTCTCTTTTAATTTCTTTTCATAATTACGGTGGGACCCACCTTTATAAACGATTTTCTTAATTATTAAAAAAATTAAACTTTAAATTTTTTTAGACAAATTATAAAACATTTCAATGAATTGAATAAATAATAAACTTGCCTATGGGCTACGGCCCATGAAAGACGAATGAACGGTGAAAAATGGGTACAATATTGTCTGGGCTTATGCCACGTGTGAATTCGGCCCATTAACGAGTAAATATTAATCACATTTTTTAAAAGGGAAATAGGAAAAATATCGTCCGCAAAAAAAGGAAGGTTGTTGAAAAATATATTTTAATCTTGAAATTCCTCGCTCCCGAGGAATCGAAGATAATATTATTTAATAGGGACTTATTTATAGCTGTTGACAAATAATAAGCTGAAGAAAGAAAACTAACTTTTTGGGCCATGGATCCAACAAGACTTGGGCCTCCGTCCATCACCGAACCCACTTTATTTGGCCCATGTCTACAAAATTTAGTCCGAATACTAACCTTAAATTTTCAAAAAACTAATATATATATATATAATCTTTCAAAATTTTATAAATATCTTTATTTAAATTTAATTTTTTTTTATTGTTAGTAATGGAATAATAATAAATAAATATTTTTATATGTATATTAAAGAAAATAATTTAATTTTCTATAAGAATATGAACACTACTTTTAAAAATAATAATAATTCCAATAAAATATTAATTATTTTTATCCAAAACTAATTAGAAGTATGGTTTTTAATTTTTTTTAATATTAAAAAAAGTTAAAAAGTTATTTTTTAAAATTTATTATGAATTTAGCTCAAAACTGAATTTAAATAACAGCCGAAAAGTCGAGGAAGATAATACATTGTACACCTTATCCATTTCGTGAAAATCGAGGAAGATGGCCCCACCAGATTCATGTGGGGCCCACCAAACAGAACAAGTTTTAATTCCACTTTCCTTCTTCCTTCCATTCCCCAGGTTTTATCCTCCCATATCCCCTTGAAATGAAAACCCCATTTTACAAATTCCCAATTATTTTATTTTTCATTCTTATTTTAAAAAAAATAAAAATAATTAATTAATTAATTATGCTTTGAATTTATGAAACATCAAGATGTCTCTGTCTTTCACCCCTTGGTCATGGGTCATATCCTGCGAATGTGCTCCTATGGTTCGCTGTCTCTGGATACAGTCTAAATACAGTGACAGAGAAAACCCTAGAGAGAGAGAAGAGAGGGAAACTAGAGGTTTTGTTGTAGAGGCGACAATGAGGCCATGTGTATGTAAGACAGAAACCCAGACGAGCAGCTCATCGCATGGACACGATTTATTCAATTCTTCTTGCCAAGTATCATCCACATCCCTCCGCCGGCCACGTTTCATCCTCCTCCCACTTTCTCGCTCTAACTCCAATTCTTTTATACCCGCCCTCCATTCACATCCCCCTTGCAAGCTCCTCATCCATGTTGAAATCAAGCAAGCAAGTTAAAAGGTCCCCTTCCACTTCCCATGCCACTTCTAGAAAGGGCTGTATGAGAGGCAAAGGAGGCCCCGAAAACGCTTCCTGCACTTATAAAGGCGTGCGCCAGAGGACATGGGGCAAATGGGTTGCTGAAATTCGAGAGCCCAATCGCGGGGCTCGTCTCTGGCTTGGCACGTTCGACACATCCCATGATGCCGCTATGGCTTATGACAATGCCGCTCGGCGTCTTTATGGCTCTGACGCCAAACTCAATCTCCCTCATCTTTCCCCCAATTTGCAGCACCATCCTCTGCTTCTTCCTGTCTCTGTTTCCTCTTCCTCCGACAGTGCGGCTGCCACGGTGGAAGATGTCGGGTCCATCAGCTCAGTTCCCCATGACAACAGTAGCAGGATGAGATTTGGGGAGGAGGAGGAGGAGGAGGAGATTGGGGGGCTTTGGAAATCGATGAGTATTAGCTTGGATGATTCCATTTGGGCTGAAGCAGCCATGTCTTTGGATTTTCCTGTCATGGAAGATCGGGATCGTCAAGGCGATTTTGCTGCTGATTTTGTGGATTCTAATGGATGGGATACTCTTCAATGGTGTTCTTGATATCCATGGAAGAATCTTAAATTTGTAATAACTGGGATTGTGTTATACACTTACTTTTTTTTTTTTTTTTTTCCCTCTGGATTTGTCTTTTATTTTCGTTGGTTTGTGGTCGTTTGGATTGAAATCTATTATAGCCTGCAAGTAAATACATAAAATTATTATGTTTTGATCTCTGCAACATACTTGGAAATGGTGTATAATTGTGTATATATATATTATAAGTTCTCTTTTACCATAAACCCTAAATCGAAGCTCAGTTTTGTAGCATTTTTGAAAGCAACTTGCAAGTGGGGAATGTTTTGATCTTCCCTACGGAAGTTTTGATGCCTTTTCTGGAACTGGGTTTCTGACATCTGATTCTGTTTTCAGTTCAGAACTTTTGGTCGGATTCTACCAATATTGTTGATATCCATTGTCGCGGGAATCAGCTTATACGATATTTTTTTTTTTTTCGTGGTAGTCTTTTTTTAATTTTTTTAATTTTTTCAATTTTTTCTACTATAATATTTTCATTTTTAACGTTCCTGTATTGTCATTTTTAATTTTTTTTTTGAACTTTTTCTTCTTTCTACTGGGTAAGAATGGTTTGTTTCCTTCCTCTATGTATTTACCATCCACTCGAGTTAAAACTATCTACCTCTTTGGTACCATCCTATGTCTATCTCTTATACTATATCTTATACTATATCTAATAGTCCTAGCTTTGAGGTACCATCCTATGTCTAGCTCTTATACTACATGTAGTTTTGAGGTACCATCCTATGTCTAGCTCTTATACTACATGTAATAGTCCTAGCTTTTTTGAGTCGTGAGTCGTGGTACTATCCTACTATTAGCTTTTTTGAGTCGTGGTACTATCCTATGTTTAGCTCTGATATTATACTTAATAGTCCTAAGTTTACGGATTCGTGGATTTAAAACACATTGATATTATACTTAATAGTCCTAAGTTTACGGATTCGTGAATTTAAAACACATTGAACGAATGTCGTTCTATGGGACGCCTATGATCAATCAAACAAGGCAGTTCATGGAATGCTCTAAAGGTTTAAACCAGTCAAATAAAAAACGGTAGAAGATGCATACTATTTTAGTTCAGGATTCCCTGCAGCAGTCCAAATCCAAGCTGATAAGCTGCACTTCTATCCAAGAACCTCCCCCATGTGTCCCACCTGGTGTTTGTCATGGAACGGATAACGG